CTAACACTTGGGTCAACTCAACTCATGGTTCAAATCCCGCCAAACGCCTAGAGTTTTTCACACTTGGGTCAACTCAAAATGTTCAAATTCCCGCCAAACGCCTACAGTTTTTCACACTTGGGTCAACTCAAATTAAGCAAATCTCCTTGGAGTTTTTCACACTTGGGTCAACTCAAATTAAGCAAATCTGCCAAACCAACTTAATAAGTTATAATTTCCTTTGATCTGTGGGACTTAAACAAATAGTCTGCCTAGTCTCATTTCCTCATTTATCACATTTATTTATGCACATGTGACTTCTAAACCTAAAACAACATTAAAATTAGGGCCTTTTTACGTTTGTCCTCATATAAATGTAAAATTAATTCTGTTTGTTTTAAGTGCTCAGTGTAAACTACAACGCCAATGAATGAGGGGCCGCGACAGCGCCGAAGGCGAAAACTGGGTTTTTCGCTGAGTTGATGGAATCTATCCGTAAGAACAGTTGTCGTTTGCCAAATGTATTTGATGGTTCTGAAATTGGTGTAATTCGGGAGGTTACAAATGCCCTTATTGGAGCACGCGTACTGCAGGGGGAGCAGAGGGGAACGATAAAATACGTGGGAACCTTAGCCAATTCTCCAGCCACATGGATTGGTGTAGATTGGGACAATGCCGACCGGGGACGTCACAATGGCTCATATAAGGGTGTGAAGTACTTCGATGCCCATGGACCAACTTCGGCTTCTTTTGTCAAGTGCGTCAAACTCACTCCGGATGCTGTTTTCTCTGTTATTATCTTCCCACCGAGCTAATTTTTTGATGTGTACATATCAAGGACCGAATATGTTCCTTGTTTTGCGGCGCGAGTTCTAGGTATACAATTTATGTAGGTTATTATAGTCGCTGTATTTACAAGCGACCATTGATACATTAGTTTTTACCTCAAAACTGTCTGGATCCAGACAAGCTTAGTAGACTCGAGTCTAATTAAAATAGCGCACAATCGCACCTGAGATTTCTTCTTCATACTTTTCTTTCGTATGTTACTGTGATCAATTTGCGAAGTGTCAGTGCACTGGCTGGTGTCAGCCTTACATGTTTGTGAGAGGAAGTTGGAGTCGCAGGTGTCCAACCTTGCCGGAAGGATAGTGCGTCTAGTGGTGTGTGTTCTATTGACCGAAACGCAGCATTGACAAGAGTTTAACCCCTATATGCACGAAACTATCTTCTTTCAGGCCCACAGTCGTACATCAGAAGGAATAATTTTCTCTGGTTTGAGGTGCGATTTAAGAATATTCTTGTCATTACAGCCTTTATGATTAAGTCAGTTATTTTAACGACTTTTGTCGGCGGTAAAATCTGCTCATGTACTTTCGTCTCACTTTGGGGTACGCTACATGTAATGCCTGTAGTTGAGTTTGCCTTTACCGCCATGTCATTACCCCCATCAGAATCCACGGCCTGCTCTAACATGCTGCTTGGGCAACGCATAATGAAAACATGTGCCCTGGTTAACGCTGAAGATGTGATTGAGAGAATACTTCCCACTGTTCACTCGAATAATTAACTTCGAACTCTTTCAGGCGGAGTTGAATCTCAAATTTCAAAAATTTCGACGTCGTAGTCCCTTCCTTTGTGATAGAGACTGAAGCAGTTTTATGCGTAGTGGATGAAGGCGACTCCCCTTTTGGCAGTCTTTGGCATGCTACTGAGCATTTACAAAACCGTTTAAACTGCTTCCACAGGGGCCGGTAGGTCAACATCGAGATCAGTATGCTGTGGCCTGACATATCAGGCTTTTGTCAAGCTTAAATAAGTTTTCCTAACGGTCATCTGCAACAGCTGGCACCTCTTTGCAGTATAGTTTGATTTTGCTGATGTATCAAAATGCCCCTACAACAGACGAACACATACTTCAAAATTGCCATCCACCGCGCTGTGTATTGACTCTTGAGTCCTAACCAAACATTCCACACAGAAAATAGCTTTTAGGGACTGAATGGGATATACTCAAATTTTCTGGAAAAAAATGCTAAACGAATATTGTTCTGTTCACGTTTGGTGTCACTCCTCCGCGCCTGTCAGTACGAGAGTTTGGAGATTAGGCGAATAGGGCTCAGAACCCGTCACGAAGCTCGAAGAGGAGTTCCAGCAAATTACCAGCCGAAGAAACCCCTATTTATGTATTTATGTCCAATATTTCTAACGTAACTGATTCCACATTCTAGGTAGTATATTATACCGCAGTTTGTGTCCTAACTGTAAGTTGTCGTCTGTCTATCCAGTTCTATAGTTGAGTAGTTATATATGCACGAGATAATTTCGGATAGGCGTAAGTTTATTTTAGAAAATAGTGCAGTGCTTTAGGAAACTGCTACGATGCAAGACAGTCGTGGCTGATGATGTCAGTTGCAGAAACCACTCTTTCACGTGTCATGCCATATTGAAGCCTAGCGCGCATTTGGATATTTGAAGCTGGTACCATGCCAGGAGTTGTCGAAGTGCGTTAATTTTGCGGGCCGCCGCCTTTCGCCTCCTCATTCATATTTTTCCAATCCTATCCTTTCCAAGGTTAATGCCTCACACATCCGTTCTGCTGTTTTGACGGATTCCTTCTAAATCCACTTCTTTTAGGCCGGATAAACTTACGTTAGGAACTAGTCTGGAGGAGGCCCTTGTCACCCGTTAT